TGGCTTAGTTCCTGTAAAACTATCATCCATACTTTATTCTCATCGAAAGTGCGCTGTATCATACAAGAATATAATAGCATACGTTGTCGTGTTGGTAGTGATTATTATATTCTTTGCATTTACATTTTTTCATACTTCGTTAATCAAAAATGAGATTATTCAAACCAATACAAATCGCGATTTTTCGAAACCTCCACTTCTTCCAGATTGGTCTTCTATTTTAGTTAAGCCTCTCAATCAAGGCAATTTAAAGTTTAGTAACCGTTACCATTACAATGTGTCATCCAGTGGATCGGAATCGTCATTGATGCCGTTATCAATAGAAACTGCTTATAGTAACCGATGGATTGTTATAACTTCAATTCATCATCCAACTATCTCTATAGAAAAACTTAGTAAATTGAAAGGCTGGGCATTAGTATTAGTCGCCGATATCAGTACACCCACGAACTGGTCGCATCCCAACTGTGTCTTTTTAAGTATTGAAAGCCAAAAGAGACTATTATTCGAAACTCATAGTATAGTACCATATCGCAATTATGGTCGGAAAACAATAGGTTATATATATGCAATTCAGCATGGCGCGCAAATAATTTATGAGACAGATGATGACAACGAGCTAATATCAGGTATTGAAGAAAAAGCGTTTGCATTAAAAGAGACTGCTACATCGAAGAAAGCATATTTTCTACCAGCACATATGCAACCAATAAATTCTTTTAGCACAAAATCCGTTTTTCGCAATGGAGTTTTTAACGCTCCCATTGATACAAACATGTCAAATTCTTTGATAACAAACGAGCAAGTCACGGTGAATCCTTATCATTATTTTGGGCAAAGCACTTTATGGCCGCGTGGATATCCTCTTCGATTTATCGGTGACGATGTTCCAATGAACATCAAGCTAACAACTATTCGACCACTAATTCAACAAGGTTTGGCAAATGGGGATCCAGATATGGATGCAATCTTCAGGTTGACCCGATCGAATCGACACAAAAGAATCAATATACAGTTTCGGGAAAGACCACCTGTAGCAATTCCCCATGGGCTCTTAGTTCCCTTCAACAGTCAAAATACGCTATTCCACTATGATGCATTTTGGGCATTATGGATTCCTATTACAACAACTTTTCGAGTTTGCGATATATGGAGAGGCTACTTTGTTCAGAGATTGCTTTGGGAACTAGAACCACAAGCAACATTGACCTTCCACAGTGCTTCGGTATTTCAGTTGAGAAATCCACATAACTATTTGGAAGATTTCGAGGATGAACTTCAGTTGTACACACAAGCGGAACAGCTTATATTGTTTCTTCGAAAATGGACATGTTCTCATGGCGGTTCTTATCTAAAAGGACGTAGAAACTGCAACATTTTCTTTAACAAAATTTTCTTTTTAGCAGTGGATATGGCTTATGCTGGCTTCTGGAAGATGAAAGATGTGTGGCTTTGCAAGGCATTTCTTGTTGATTTAATCAAAAATGGATATAAATATGACTTGGAACATCAGATGCAATCCAAAAAGTTTGAAACTACAAACCCAATATTGACTTTAATGTTGCAACCTTTGCAGCCAATGAATCAGCTCGAAAAAAAGCGTACTCGTATATTTTTAATGAGTGATAATGCTACAACTTATTCAGATACCGATTACGTTGTTTCTCACAAACGTCACATTCCAACTCGCGTGGCAGTATGTGTTAGTGGGCAGCCCCGTACACTAAATATGGTGATTCCTTCAATTCTACCCGTCATGATCGTAGATTCCACAGTCTATAAAAATGGCTCGACATGGAGGAACATCATTAATGCTAATCAGACGACAGCAATAAACATTCAAAACATGCTATTGGATAAACTACCGGCATTTGATGTATTTATGTATGTTACGACACAAGAAAAGCATTCTAGAGAACCGCGAGTAAATGATTCTAGTATTTGTGAGGCCTTACGACCTCGTTTTGCTAGTAATCGGTTGCTATGCTCTGTGGTAAAAGAAGTCGATATCCATAACCCTCCAACGAACCTGTCTATCTTTAACAACTATTATTACAACTGGAGTCCCAAATTGCGACAAGGCTTATTGCAACAGCTCAACGGACTACGGCAGTGCAATGCAATGAGAAAGAAATATAGTAAAGAAAGTGGACAGCAATACACACATTGGATCAGATTACAACCTGATACTGTTTTCCTAGAGCCCTTTCCAAACATTAGCAAAATTCACTTTGTGAATAAAGCTACTGGGAAGCCTCTAGTAATATTTGCCACTACATCCAAATGTTGCTGCGGCAATCAAGATTGGTTCGGAGTGGGTACCATAGAAACTATGGACGCATACTTTGACCGCATAAACATTCTGCACACCTTTAAACATGAACCTCCATGGACAGCTGAGGATTTTGCTACATATGCCGTGAAAGAGACTGCAAAGGCGCAACTGGTTGATAACACTCCAATGATTCAGGCATGTCTCCACAAACCACCCAATAGAAGAGAGCCCGTAGACCCCTAGAACCGGATAGACTTTATAACACAAAGAGACTGATAACTTCATGGTCAAAATACGGCGATCTAGCTACTTAAAAAAGCGCCATTAGAGTGAATAGGTTTCCAGGGTGTTATTGACTGCTGCTATCTGTCTGAGTAACTATTATGCCTTTTAACAACACGCCATTAAGAAAAGCATCCAGATTGCTTCCCCCTAATAGAATTCTGCAGCAAAACTGAACTATAAGTGGCTCTTCAATTTGGTGATAGAAAATTCCAACACTTTTACCGCATAAGCTACTTGCAGCAGGGTGTGGATGTGTGTGTGTGGTCTGGGTGTGGGTGTGGGTGTGGAGTGTGCGGTGTAGGTGTGGGTGTGGGCGTGGGGTGTGGAGCGTGGGTGTGGAATGTGGGTCTGGGTCTGGGTGTAGGATGTGAGTGTGGGTGTAGGGTGTGGGTTTGAGTGTGTGGGTGTGGGTGTGGGTGTGGGTGTGGGTGTGGGTGTGGGTGTGGGTGTGGGTGTGGGTGTGGGTGTGGATGTGGATGTGGATGTGGGTGTGGGTGTGGGTGTGGGTGTGGGTGTGGGCGTGGGCGTGGGTGTGGGTGTGGGCGTGGTTGATGGTGTGGTTGAGGGTGTAGGGTGTGGGGAGGTGAGAGTGTGGGTGTAGATATGGATGTGTGATAAGCCTTCATGTACACCCACACCCACACCCTCGGTTGACTGTACTCTGTTTTGTGTTGAACAACGGTTTAGATTTTTTTGTTGTTTTATAACTCATAAAAAATGTTTTTAATGTGGGGCTAGACTTCATGTCGTTCTCAGTTGCTGTTGAGCTTGTTTTATATTAATATAGTAAAATAAGTTTGCCTAAAATTCAACCTATTTGGTTCGCTAGAGGAAGACGGAGATATATGATTTATCTATATGCTCTTCTCGTGTAGCCTAAAAATAGATAGACAGATTGTAGAAAAAACAACGTTACAGAACATTTTTGGTGTATTACAAACATTGCAGAAACACGGAGCAAGAGCGTAGACTGCACTAAATTGTTGCTCATCCATCTTTTGACAAAAATTTATTTCAAAAGTGAAGAAGCAAATAAGAAACAAAATGGCAATATAATGAAAAAATACATGCAAAGAAGATTGGGGAGATGAGAGATGATCGAAGTGTGTATGATTATGAGAAATTATAGCTACAACGAAAATGGAAAAGAAAAGGAATAGAAAATATTTTATATCGCTTTTCATTCCTAACTTGCAAAGGTTTCACAGAAAATGGTGTGGGTGTGGGTGTGGGAGTGTGGGTGTGGGTGTGGGAGTGTGGGTGTGGGTGGGCGTGGGGTGTGGATGTGGGTGTGGGTTGTGGGTGTGGGTGTAGGTGGGTGTGGGTGCGGGTTGTGGGTGTGGGTGTGGGTGTAGGTGGGTGTGGGTGGGGGTTGTGGGTGTGTGTGTGGGTTGTGGGTGTGGGTGGGTGAGCGTGTGGGTGTGGGCTGTGGGTTGTGAGTGTGGGTGTGGGTGTGGATGTAGGTGAGTTAAGAGAACACCCACACCCACACACCCACACCCACACACCCACAAACACACACCCACACCCACACACCCGCACCCACACCCACACACCCACAGCCACATCCACACACACACACCCACATTCCCACCCCACACTTACACCCGCACACCCTGTTGTTCCACAAAATGCCATTCAAAACGAGGTGGTTGCAAAAATTTGGATGAATAGATTAAAATATTATGTTTTGTATGTTAATAGAATATAAAGATATTGTTGAATAAAAAAAGATTTATTCTATTTAGATTTGAATTGTATGAATTTATTTTTAGTCGGATCCTAATTTTGCCCAGGTAAAATTAGAATTCCAATTCTGACTGAAGAATGTCTAGTAAAAATTAGAATTCCAATTTTGCCTACAACATATATATATATAAAACATCCATTGTGTAGATCTCGACTAGACATGTTAGTCGATGTCTCAATCAGGAAGTGCGTGTATCTTCTCTTCATCTCTCGATGACCGATCCACATCGAATTATTTGTTCATAACATTCTGCTTCTTTACTTTTAGGATTACAATTATTTCCATTAAATTGGAAAGCTATGAATGTATAATGGGTTCGAGTGGATATGAATGTGACATACAAAATCAACAAAATTTATTTTGATATGAAATGATGAACTTTAGAAAAAGTTTTCTATGTTTAACTTGCTGATTCATACGAAGAAAAGATATATACGACCATCCATTGGTATCAGTATGATTATTATGTATTATCAGCATCCTAATAATTAAAAGAAACTACTCATTATTAATTATAGCAATCATTTAGAGATTTTTTACGGATATATAAAACTAAAAGTGTTTTATAATCGAAGTTAAGATAAACTATAGTATTAGCGCAATACATAGATAAATAGAAAGGATTAAGCTACGTATTATAAACGAAGAATGAATTTGGAATATCAATTATTAGCGTTCTGTACTTCGATTTTAATTTGTTGAAGATGGAGATTGTGCGATTGTCGAATATTTAGGTTCACATATCGCTTGTAAAAGATTGATTAATTCTCGTTCAAATTCAACTTGAATATTTAAGTTGTTTAAGTCATCAGGAGCATATTGACCTAATGGTAATTCAACATAGACTCTATTGAAATCGCTACCAATTGTTAATGTTATTATGTCACCATTTTCGTTAAAATGAAGAGAACAAACAATTATCAACATCCAACTTTGTTTGTTTTGTCGATAAGTTAATAAATCATAGTTTTTACGTTCAGTCATATCTTGACGATATTCCAACCAATGACAATACCCATCATACCATGAACATGATGGATGTTTTTCAATAAATATTGCTTTGGCAAATTCAAATGCACATGATACTTTATGAAATAACATTTTGATTGGGTATAGACTGGAAAGAACTGGAGCTGATTCAAGTAAAAACAAACTTTTTGCAGCATTATTAAATTGTAGATCAAGTGAAATATTTTCATGTTCGAGAATGTGACAAATTGAATGTAAACGATATTCTAACTGTTCAACTGTCCACTGATATTCTGCATTTTCAAATCCTTTATCAAAAGTTGTCATGATATAATTTCTTAATTGTTTTGTCAATGCTGATGATAATTCATTGGCAATGCCTGAAACGAAACACAATCGATAATTCAAGTTAATACAATTGTCAGTATATATTAAAAAAAATGATTTGAGATAAGTATTATGCGATGCGAGCTAACTCAGATTGATTTCAATTCAGTCAAAAATGAGATGTCAGCTGAGTCCAACGGAACTTTATCTTCTCGTTTAACGTTCTGTGGCAGTAACATCAGCAACCCACAATAGATTTGATTTTTTGCGTTGAATATTAATTCCGGTACATACCTATTCGCTTCACAGCTTCATTTATTTTCATCATAATACACGTATCAGCCTCTTCAGTTTGATGTGGCGCCAAATTTGAGTCATTGCGATGTTTCGTTCCTGGTTCAATTCCAGTTAGCATCCAAAATAATATAGTACAGACACTTGAAGCATCAATTGTTGGACTACGACGAATATGTAATAGCACATTCTGTTCTTTCTGCGTCTTGTTCTTCCATGTTGGAGAATTCAATTGTGGAACGCGATAAAAAGAATTACCCATAGTATGACCAAAATATGTTTGTCTATATTTCTCTTTTTCTTCAAATGAAGACCAATCAACAGTATCCTCATGCTTATTACTATATGCTAGTCCAAAATCAATCACATGGATTTCAGCTCTTTCAATCGGCGCATTTGGATCATGAACAACTAAGAGATTACCCGGTTTTATGTCACGATGTACAATACCTCGATCATGAATTTCTTTAACAGTTGAAAGTAGTTTTTGAGTTAGTTTAATTGCGTCTAGTAACTCAATTCTTTCGTGTTGTTCCATGAACGTTTCCAAAGTGTCTCCCTCGATATAACTCATAATCAACCAATAAATTTTGTTTCCAGCTATAGCATCTTCCTCACTATCTGGCATATTTGTATAATCATTTGTATAGTGTGTTATTTGACTAACGTTTTTCACACCTACTCAAATACAATGTATATGTCCGAAAATAGTTAGCTATAGTTCGTATTTCAAATATATTATTACTATAAAAACACATTGGTATAAAACTCAATTACATATTCGGAAAAGGTGCAGAATTTTCTATCAATCTGCATATTAATATTTGAGTTTATAGTTATCTATTCAAAAGAAAACTGACTATAATGAAAAATTTTTAAGGTTCTATTCTGACAGATTAAATTCTCTTTCCGTATATGGATTAGTTTCTCTAATAATCATCTATTGTAACAACGGTAGTTTTTGAAAAGTATAATAATATATTTCGATGACGCTTTCAGTACCCTAACCTCCTATCTATTTGTTTATAGTCTTGGATTTGTGTACAGTATATAACTACCAGTAAAGAGATAAAGAATATATTATATCATAGAAAAACTCAAGGTTTATTAAAATCTATATTTCTATGTGTAACATATAGTTTTCGTACTAATTTAAATTTGGGGAAAAAACTAAATTCATGAAAATTACATATTTTTTTGTGTTCCTTAATTGATGCTTTATTTACTGTTTTTGGATTATTGTCTTTGAAAATGAGTCTAACGAGGGAACATTCCCAAGTGTCACATCGCTTTTGAGTCGAGCGTATGTGCATCATGTAGACCCTAATGATCTATGAATACTCTGAAAAAAGTTCGTGCTGCTAGCTTATTATTGCCGAGATATTGCATTTTTATTGTATGTTTAAGAAAAAAAAGCTGTGGTCCTCCTCAGAAACACTAGAAAAACTAAGTTTCGAAGTTCGACTTGAAACTTTGCATAGAGATAGGCCTCAGTGAGAATAGTTAATTGTGGAAGCCTCAAATCTTTTCGTTGTTCCTATCCTAAGATACAGCTATGGTAAAATAGCTTATATAAATCCGCAAGTTCCGATTTCCTTATTTCAGACTGGGAGCAATCAAAAGATCTGAAACTTTCACAATAAACTATTCTCATTGAGACCTGTCCTTGTACAAAGTTTCAAATTGAAATTCAACACTCAGTTTTCCCAGTGTTCCTGAGGGGCCCACGGCTTTTTGCTTATACATACAGTAAAAATGCAATATCTCGGCAGTAATAAGTTAGCAGCACGAACTGTTTTCAGAGTATTCATAGATCATTAGGACCTACATGATTCGCATACGCTCGACTCAAAAGCGATGTGACACTTGGGAATGTTCCCTCGTAAGTCTATAGGCAGACAGATAGGATGATAAAGAATTGAAACCGCCGTCAGAATATCTAATTACATTTTTTAAAAGCTATTCTTTTCACAGTAAATTATTAAACAAACTAACCAATACCATACAAATAAAGCTCGGTCTGTGAGAATTCAACCATAAGAGTGCATTAACTATAATTAATTTAATTTTTCTTAGATAACTGTCGACTAAAATATAAATATACAGAGCGATCGAAAACTCTACGCAGTTCTAGAATATATAATTGAGTTTTATACAAATGCGGTTTTCGTAGTGATGATATATCTGAAATACGAACTACAGCTAGTTTTTCCAGATGTATTTATATATTGAAATTGTATAGAAAATGAAATGTTGAAAGTGCTTACCTTGCAACTGTCTTAAAGCGATCAACTCGCGGTGGGCACGCATTCTTCGTTCTTTAAGATAGTCATCTCTCTCTTTGTTATTTTTTTTGGTTTTAGCGTCAGCTGAATAAATCTTTATTGCGGCTATTTGTGTTCTGTCGTTTTTGTAGTATATTATGCGTACTTCACCTTGACCACCAGCATTTCCAGATGGTAAGTTCATTGAGGTCCAATCATTCGGAACATCGTTTGGCAGTTCAGAATTTGCTAAAACTGAGGTTTGATAAAGTCTTTTTTTTTAATATAGACATTCAATCTCCTTGCCTTGTTTTTTGACGCTGTTTGTAGCATGTCCGATTAATCGACTTTCATCACTTATTGATTGATCGTCTACAATAGCGATCGAACTTGAACTTTCACTAAAACTGTTTGGACTTTTAAGTGACTCACTGTAACGTTGTGAATCTTCATTTGATTCATTTGATTGATTAGTGCTCATATTTACGAGTTTAGGTGTACTTCTGTGATGTATTGGCACGTCAACTTCTTGTAAATCTCATAAGAAAATATATAAAATTAGAAACTAATTATAACATATTTTTCTGTACGTCCAACAACTACATATCAACAATTACGGTATTCCAAAACAATAGAATATACTTTTCAAAAATTAAGCAAACTACTATAGTAGTGTAGATATTTGTATTGAATGTAGATGTTTAACTTATCTTTCATCCATCCACGTTCACATGTCTATACCCATGTATTTACGCAAATATTTTAACATATCAACTTCGAGTTTCAGTTAAAAAATTGAGACTGAAGATGTATTGCAATGAATCATAAACTCACCAGATGTCGATACTGTCGATATACTTGTATCACTGCCAACTGTGGTTGAATGTAAATATTTTTCTGCATTGCATAAAGCATTATCAATACTGTGAGGATTCTCCTGGATTGCTTTGTCCACACAATCATAACTTAAATTCAAAATAATTATTCTAAAAAAACATCTAATCATTGGTATCAAAAGTCTTACTCATCATACGTGATTTTGATATACTTTCCTTCACTTTCAACACTAACAATTGTACCATATAAACCGAAGTGATGTTTTAATTCCATTTCGAATATATTGTTTAATGGTTTCAAACAGGTACATATTAATGTACGTATGTCTCTTTGTGCTCTAACTTTTTTCATATTAGTTGTACCGTGTAATTCCCGATAAATATAAATAGGATGGTTGTTCAAAATATGCGGACGACTGTCTTTTTTCATCAGATTATCGACTGATTGTGCTTCTTGATATACAGCTACCGCTCGTCGGGCTGGATCACTTTCTATGAAGAAGGATATGAGATTCTAATAGTGAAACAACGTAAAGTGTGAGGATGTCGGTGTGAGTATTATGTTTTCTTACACCCCACACCCACTTATCCAAATATTATAATTTGTTACCTTTAGGCATGTCACAACTTTTTAGCGTTCCAAATCCCGATAAATATCGAACTAAATCGTCTCTTTTATCAGTAGCAGCCAGGTCTTCTATATAAATTTTCTTTTTGTATTCAGAAGATCGGCCAGACGTTTGCGATTCATGCATTCCAGATGTTGTTGCCATCAAATAGTATTTGATTAAAATACAAATTTTGAATTAAAACAGTTCTAAAACCAGTTTATAACAAAGTTAAATGTTAAAGATTCACGTGAAGATAATGATAATATTTACATTGCAGATTATATTTCTAGATTCCTTGAACCGAATAGATACACTAATGATACATAGGAGGATACGGTAATTTTCTAAGTATTACCAGTTTTCAGCAGATATCTAGTTTTTTGGTAAATACATCTATGAAAATGAATAGCGAAGGGAGAGAATACATCCTTGTGACGATTTTAGATAGAAGAAGAGTTAGCGCTGATGGAACTACGCTTTATTATATTTCTTTTTATCAAGAATCGCTTCGCTTCCATACAAAACATATACTTATATACTTATCCATCAGAGAGAAGGAAAGAATGATAAGGACAGAAAATAACATAAGACCATATATGGGAAGAAAGAGATATAAGGACAATGTATAAGGACGAAAATATCAAAACAATACGGTCATTATGTCATACAGTGTACTCAAGCGGGAGCGTCACAATCCTATTCCGCGATGTTGAACATCGGGGAACAAGTTCTGTCCCTGAAATCAGTTTCATCCGATTCCAGGAACTCGATCGTCATTGAAAGTCGAAGGTTTCACCAACATTAATCGAGTTCCTTAAATTTCCAGAATTTCTCCCAATTCCGGAATTACAACTCGTCCTCACCCTCACGCATGTTCATATGGTTAAAGGTTAATCGATTCGATCAGTATCTAATTCCCGCACGGAATTCCTACCGGTTTCGGAATTTCGGGAATTGAAAGAAGTCGATCAACGTTGGTTAGATCTTTGACGTTCAATGACGATCGATTTCCCAGAATTGGACGGAACCGGTTCCATAATGTTTAACATTGCGGAACAGGGTGACTTTTTTGAAGGGAAAACCAGAAATTCACTTTGATCTTGAAATAGAAAATACTGTGAAAGGGTACAGATGTGGCTTGATCAGAATTGAAATTAGTGTATCGGATTCATTCAGTCTCAAGGTCTTTCATAAATAAAGAACGAAATTGTACTAAGTTTATGCATTTTTTCAATCTCTTTAAAAACAAATGCGACCACTACCGCGTCGTCATGAATATTTCTGATTCTCTGACAGTGAAGTTTCGATGTTTCGAAATGTTAAACTTTTATGTAGGGGTGGCATTTTCCTGTTAGTTTATTTTAAATTTAAATTTTGAAAAATTTATATTTAAAAAAAATGTCAATTTTTTCAATAACAAAATTTATACTTAAAATAAGCTTAAATTTTCCGAATTAAGAGTAAAAGGAAATGTAAATTTTCATTACACCAAAAATTTACAATTAAAATAAATTTAAATTTTCGAAATTTACATTTAAAATAAATATAAATTAAATTGAAAAAATTTTATTTATTATGTTGTTTCAAACAACATAATCCATATCAGGATCACATGTCTCTATCAATTATGTTGTTTCTCGTTACGGTCCAACAGGCATGCTTTCAGCAGTTTGTATTTCAAAAATAATTTTGTTCACTAATTCTTTATTCCAGTGTTTGAAAATTATAATTTAGCCTTTAGGCATTAGGGGTGATCTTTTTACATTTACGCCAATTTACTGAATCCGAAAATAAATTTTGAAAAATTTAGATTTAAAATAAATGTAAATTTTTGCTATAACAAAATTTATACTTAAAATAAGCTTAAATTTTCTGAATTAAGATGAAAAATAAATGTAAATTTTTGTTACACCAAAAATTTATAATTAAAATAAATTAAAATTTTCGAAATTTACATTTAAATAAATTTTAACTAAGTTAGAGTTTTCTGTCTTGTCTCTCAGAATAAAAGCAACATTTCATATTAAATGTATGCTATAGTGTATCAAAACCAAATGATAGCCACTCCAGTAGGTTGAAATCGATTACATTTAAAAATCTGATTCGTATTTGAGAAAACCACCCATTCAACTGGATTTTTCGAATCATAAAAACAATCACAACCTAGTTTTAGATCTCATTTTTGCATTTGATAAACTTATAGAAAGCTGCGAAACAATCGAGTCTTTCAGCATATGGTTATTAGATCTTGCGAGAACAATGATGTTTTCTAAAAGCTAGCGTCACTAAAAGTGAACAACTCGTCCTGTCTTACATGAATAATCTAAAGAATTTTGCTCGAACAATTGTTTTTGACCAAGTAGTTTCCGTTTTGACAATATATATATAATTATTACCAGAGTAAAATAATGGGTAATGGTAGTATCACTCTTTCTATCGCTCACCTGGTGCATCTATCTTCACACGGATAAATAGAACATCCAGCTAGCACTTTCGATTGTATCTGAAGTGTGAAAAGATCAAAACATTTACGTCGAGTATGCCTAAAGACTAAGTTATAATTTTCAAATACTGGAATAAAGAATTAGTGAACAAAATTATTTTTGAAATACAAACTGCTGAAAGCATGCCTGTTGGACCGTAACGAGAAACAACATAATTGATAGAGACATGTGATCCTGATATGGATTATGTTGTTTGAAACAACATAATAAATAAAATTTTTCAATTTAATTTATATTTATTTTAAATGTAAATTTCGAAAATTTAAATTTATTTTAAATGTAAATTCCGAAAATTTAAATTTATTTTAAATATAAATTTTTGGTATAACAAAAATTTACATTTATTTTAGATGTAAATTTCGAGAATTCAAATTTATTTTAATTGTAAATTTTTGGTGTAATAAAAATTTACATTTCCTTTTACTCTTAATTAGGAAAATTTAAGCTTATTTTAAGTATAAATTTTGTTATTGAAAAAATTGACATTTTTTTTAAATATAAATTTTTCAAAATTTATTTTTGGATTTAATAAATTGGCGTAAATGTAAATAGGCCACCCCTACTTTTATGTACTGTATTTAACACATATTATTAAATACGTATTTTACTGCGGAAAAAGAAAGCAAGTAAAGTAGAAACAACTACGCAAAGCAATGAATTTACATACATTTTCACCACATACAGAATGCCGCTGACCAAGTATATGTGGTATGAATGTTTTGCACAACAACATGTCACCTTTTTTTTTCTTTTCTAATCTTTCATTGTTTATCGTACGAAAAAATGTTGAAGAAGAAAAAAAACCTTACTCTTGCTTCTTCATTTTTATTTTTTCTACGTACTTGAAAACTTGATAATTGTTTCTAGCAGAAAAATAAATCAAGGGATCCATAAATAAGAATTTAACTATGGAGTGTGGATGCGTGGGTGTGCGTGTGCGTGTGGGCATGGGTGGGTATGGATCTAGGTATGGTTGTGGTTGGTTGCATGGATTTAGCTATCCGTGTGTGGAAAGTGTGAGGTTTGAGTATATTTAGCGGCATAGGTTGAGAGTGTATATGTATGTGACTCGCGATTTGCGTGGGAAGAGCAATTAGACGCATATTCATTCACTTCGACGAACAGATCCTGGCCGAGGTCCAAATCCGCACCCAACAGCATACCGTTTGTATTTTCACAATGTTCTTCTAAAGTTGGAATTGTGCTTCAAGCCGAACTCGCATCTTTCCTGTGTATGACTGACCTACTGAAGCTGATTGGCGAACACTGTGGGAGTATAATGTGAAATGGAAAATGTAATGCTTTGAATTGTTTTTTGTTACAACTTTGCTTCGAAGCATTGTTCGCTACCACCCACTAAAATAAACAAAAAAAGGCTTGAAAACATATTCGCTGATCTGTAAGTTGCTTTTTGTCTTTCTCTTACCTTCCTTCTCGCTCTGCAGACGAAAATCAATAGTGAAAAAAGCATAAAGGGTGTGGGTGTGGCTGTAGGTGTGAGTGCAGGTCTTCTCTTCATACACATCCACTCACACCTACGCCCTAACCAGAGTGCAGAGCTACAAAATAAAAACAATCCCGATGCATAAAGTCTTTCTGTTCTTGAGTTATGAAGTCCAGAATGGAGACAGACCGCACGCATTATAACTTTCTTATACTTCATGCAATCGGGATGTGGGTGGTGTCACTGATCAACATTCGTTGAGAACTATGTGCACACTAGTTTTCAGCTCTACAGCTCATATTGTGACTGAGATCCAAGGGAGGGGGGGGGGGGAAATACTTTTGTCGGGTACTGTATGAAAAGACTTTCTTTCTTATACTTCTTTGCCATATCAGTAAGAAATGCTGCAAGTTTATAATTTGGACCATTATACATTGCAACTATGGTTCTTAACGAAAAGTTGACTTTATGCACCTTCTTTGTACAATAAAACACTGGAATCAAACTACTTGAGACAAATGATAGATCATACTCTTTTCTTATAATTTTCTGATCTTTCAATAATTCAAACAGTCTGCTATTAATTTGTTTTTCTTCTTTTGCTGATTCATCATTTTCTATCCTATTAAACTTCTTTGGATCTTGTAAAATTTGATTTACTCTATACGTGTAATCACTTTTGTTCATGCATACTACTGCATTATCTTTATCAGTT